TCACAAACCCTTTCACAATATTTTCCTTTTCTTTCTCTTCTAATTTCAACACTAATTAGCCATCCTTGGCATGTTAGACCCCGCAGTAGGTGGCAACAAGCCGATCGGTAAGAAGGATAAATCCATCTTTAGATAGTTGAATTTGTATTTTAGAAAAACATAAAAATTGTAAATACATAATAACATGTACACAATGAATCTTTCTCGCAAATAAAACAAGGATGGGCCAGTTATCAAAAAAAAAAATATATATAATCTTAGTGGTTCTCCCAGAAAATCATATGCATGTAATTAATAAAAAAATAAAATAAAATAAAGAACAAAATGATAAAGACAATCATAATAAAACACAATTATTACTATGAATCTATTGATATTTGTCTATATGTTATTAGTAATTTGGATCTCACATTACCTTAAAGCTTTAGGATCAGGGGTCAGGTCATGTGTTCTAAAATATCATATGTTTTGGCAAATCATTAGTGTTTCATAGCTGGAGGTTTAAATCCTTGATTATCTTGAAATCCTATTTGATAATATTTTTTTAATCTTTAATAAAAGATATTTATTTCATCAAAATATTTATAGTTTCTTAAGACTGTTTTAGCAATTGTCATCTGACTTTCAGATGTAAAGTTATGCTTTTATCAGGTGACTTAGGTAAACTTGTTATACACACCATATTATAGAAAAGTTTGCCTGACCAGGATAAAGAAATCTTTTCATGAACTTTGTTTGATCAGAATATAAGTTTGGAGATCTCAACTTTTGTCCAAGAAAATCTTTTCATCACCTGAAAAACTTAGTGAGAAATGTAAGTTGAATTATTTTTTTCTACCTATCACTTGCCTTTTGATATCATAATTGTTTTCTAGAAGTTGAATATATACAATTGAAGGGGAATTTTTTCTATAACTTTTTTTCTTATATTATCAATGAAGTATCGAGACACATAAATATGATTAATAAGAGATTGTTTACATTCTAAAAACTGATGTGTTTTGTATTAATCACATTTGGTGAGAATTTGTATTACTCAAAATTTAGGGTCAAACTGAGATAAGCAAAATTCTTCAGAAAACTGTGAAAATGTGAGTTCTAAGAGGGTCAAGACAGTTAAAAAGGAAAAAATAAGCCTTTTTACTACTGAAAATCTCTATAAGCCTCTTACTTTAAAGATTAGAAAGACCTTTAGATACTTTACAGTCAGTTCTTCTTCCTTTGAAAACTTTCTTGCCATTGGTATCAAAGGTGTTACTTAACTTTTCTTAGTTACTAGAAGTCAAGTTTTTGAGTGAAGAGATTTATAAATAATAGAGGAAGGGTATAAATGACTTTTGAAGTCATATTTCAAGTTGTTTTAAGAAAAGTATTAAGACTTTATTAGTAAGGAAGTATAAAAACTTCTTGTGAACATCTTTTTTATGTGTGGTCAGAGGATCAGCGAAAAGAGTTTTTTATAAAGATTTTTTTTAATTTATTTAATAAAAATTATTATATAATTAAGAAATTTATTAATGCAATAAGTTTATTGAATATAATAAATGATTAAGCAATAGTATATATCGTATTATATTGTTTAAATAAATTATATATTATAAACAAAAAAAATTAAAATAAAATATTTATAGAAATTTATAATAAAAATCTATTTTGTATAATTTTTTTTTTTTGATAATATAATTAATAGAAAATTATAAAGTTTTTACAATGATGACCTGTAAATATTGAACTTCATAATTAAATAATAATTCAAATTATAAAAGAAGCAAAATATCATTCTTTAAGTTGTATCTAGAAAAAAAATTTTTAATAATAGATAAGCTTATATGTGAAAATTATTTAATTTGTAATTATTTCTATTTATTCACAATAAAGCCAAGCCATATTAGCTTGATGATAAGTTAAAAAAAACTGAAAAGTTTTATTTTTATATAATTTAACTTATATTTTAAAAGTTATCAATATATAATTAAAATTAAATTTTAAAATCTAACAATATAATATTAATTATTGAAATGATTTTTTTAATTGCTTTCTAATGAATTTAAACTAGGAATCATTACTTGATGGCTTGAAAATACTCATTTATGCTATAAATCTATAGATTAAAATTCTATTAAATTTAAATAAATATTTATTAAATTATAAGTATTATAATGATTATAAATATTTTTATTTATCAAATATATTGTATAAAAACTCAAATCGATATTACAATCTTATATACAGCATGCTTAAAATAAGGAGATTGCATTTATGATATGTCCCAACCTGGAACCTAATCAAAGAATGCATTTAAGGAGAATGTGCATTTATAAAGAGTGCATGTATAGAGATTTATCTGTATACACTATTTCTTAATCCAAATTACGAATATAGTTTAAAAAATAGTTGCAATTTTTTAATTTTGCTTGGGCTACTGCTTTTTTAATGATATTGAGTGCACAAGATGAGATCTCTCTTGTTAGAAACTTGCCAATCTGTAATGAAAGTGCGTACGCGCATAAGTGTTATACAGTCACATACCAATTAAAACCAAAAAAACTATGCAAAATGAATTTAATTAGGCAGGTGTCACCAAAAAACAAAAAAAAAACCTGCTATTTCTTGTAAATTTGGAGTCTCCGCTAGGTCTATGTGCGTAGGAATGCACCTCCAGTGAAGGGCACAAACTGATTTATTAATGCCAAATTTAGTGCAATTATCATCCGAGAGAGAAGTTTATCTCAACTATAAAAGGGTATATAATAATAAAAGTTTTGTTTAAGGTTTGGAGGGAAATAGATTTTGCCGTTGTCACGGGAGACAGATGCGGAGAAAATTCTGTTTATCACTATTAAAACGAATACGTACGTATTGATTTTTTGAAGACAATGGACTAAATTGTTTGTTTCCTAAATTGAACCTTTAATCTTGTTTTAGCAGGGTTCTTGAGGGAATTCCTGTTTTCTCATGTTTGATTTCATGTGCATTGTTTTTTGAGTAATTACGTTGTATACATGCCATTACGCCGGAACTAATACCGATTTATCAAGAAAAATAAAATAATGAAGCCACACCACTTTTTGCCTGGATACAATGGTGGAAAGAAATTTTCCATTTTTTTTCTGTGGAAATTTTACACGGAGTTGTGAGAATCGATGTTTAAGCACAGATCTGCGATGTTACATTGACATTTGTAATTAGAACCCCTTGTTGACTAAAAGAAGTTCTGTTAATTTGTTTTTTCCATTGTACCTGCTTTTCGTTTTCTCGTTATTGTTATAGCGAGGTTGACTGAATTTTCTCCTTCCTGCCTTCACATTTCTTATTTTCTTTTCACATAGCATTTGTATTGAGAAACATACATAGTTGATATTTCAGTTTTAGCAAGTTCAAAAAAAAAAAAAAGGAGGATTACAAGATTATTTTTCTTTAAGAGAGTAGATTTTTCTTACGGCACTAGGGAATAAGTAACCAATTTTCCTTTACCAAAAACGTCATATCGTCAAATTTCGCAACTTACATTTTAATAGCCAATTATTTGAAATTCCGAATTTAAACATTAAGACTCAACAAATTGAAGCCAAAATGTATGACGAAGAATCAACAACATACGAAGATCCCCACGTTATTGCTTCTTCTTCAACAGGAGAATCATCTAATAGAACACTTCAATGTGATTTTATAGAAACAAAGGATCACTTTGATGCACCTCAAATTATACCTCGACCTCCCAAGAACAATGGGACTGCAACATACCAAAGATTATCTGATCGATACACATTTTCTTTTTCAGCAGATTTAATAGAACAGGTTTGTAAACATTTTATCGTATGTGGATGGATAGTGTGAATTTTTCGTCAACTACATGATCGTTTCGTTTATTTCACAGTTTGACAGATATCGGGCACAAATGCGAGAAAGCATACAACAAGAATTAGAAGCAGATGAGTCGGGGTCAGAAAAAGAATTGGTAAATAAGTAGTCATGTTATTTCACCTGTGGAGTGTGTGGCGCGTCTAAGATTATTCCTTGTTTCTATAGAAGGCAGATTAGCGACATTCTTAATCTGTTGAGTCTTGTACGGTCGTTATCATTATGAAAAGGATATTATCCATTTAAAAAAAAATTTACTAATTCGATGTAATATTTATGAAATTTTTTTTAGAAAGAATCAGAAATATTAGTAATGGGCATAGATGATGACGAGGGTGGATTTAGTGTTCACCAAGTTCATCATTCTAATTTTGGGTCAAATATGTATTCGCAAGACTCAACTAGGGAGATAACTTCTGATAGTGCACCAAAATCCTGTATACCAAAGTCAAATCAAGGACGAAAATCGATAATGTTTTCCTTCTTGCGTGGAAAGGCAAAACCTCGACACATTACAGCTTCAGATATGGATAATCAATCAACATCGGCGATAGATTACGAAACACGAGTCGAAACAGAATCAATTGAATTCGAAGTGTACCAACAAACTGAAAATCGGAAAAGGTTAAACTCAACAAAAAAGATATTACAAACATTTAATATATTTAGGTCATGTACGTGCGATGGAGCAACTGAATAGACGAGAATTTTTTTTATTTATTCATATGAGGAATGATGATTGCATGAACTCTTTATCCTTAGAAAATGTCTAATATAATTACCGAAAAAAATGTTGACGATGATGTTCATTATTCACGGCTTTCTAATTTATGATTTTTTTTTATAAAAGTAAACTTATCTCTGTCCAATTCGATACTTAACGAATAACATTAGTTATATATAATACACATTCCCGTAGTTCTTAATACACTTTCATTAATATCAATTTCTTTTTGGTTGGTCCACTGGCGGGTTCAATTTTTACGACTTTCGACATCATCTTTTTTTCACAATAATTAATTCATCTGTATTTTTCATGCATGTAGGAATATTTCATCTATACCGCATTTTCATTATATTTTCTTTCTAAAGAACATACATTTTGTGTGGTGAGACCCGACTCCTTGAGACATTGATTTCTAATTGAACATCTCTGAAATAAAAATTCTATTATTAAGAATCAATTAAAAATAGTTAAGAAAGCTTCGATTTATTATTGATTACGCCAATTGGAAACATTTTCCCTCTTTAACTCAATAATTATACAACAATGATTCTTTAGAGGCTTATTAAATTAATCAGAATTGCTGATGAAATATATTTTTTTTCTTTGGTCACAAATGTTTCATTCTATTTATAACAAGATTTCAATAGAAGTAGGATCTAAATTTACCCAATAATCTAGAATTTTTTTAAAGAAAATTTATATTCAATAATTTATTAAACTCTTTTTGCCAATTATTTCGATTATAATAATTGTCAAGAGTTTTCAATAAAGTTGCAACACTTTTATTGAAAACATTTTGCAAATATATTGCAAAGCATAATTTAATTATTTTTATCTTTTTTTTTGACCTGAATATTAGTTTTAAGTCAAAAGTGATAAAGGTAAAATCTGAACTTTCAATAACAAGAAAGAATATCAAAAAAAACTTTTAGACTTTTTCTTACTTCTCTATAATAGAATAGGCAAATCTATAGAATATACTGTATAATATCAAGAATATAATATGATGGTAAGATTTAAAAATTTTTTTAGGTTTCAAGTTTTCTTATAACTTATAATTAATAATTCTTATTTTTTAAAAAAATTATATTTATCTTAGTTTAATTCTAAAATTTTATTATATTAGATTTGTTAAAATTTATTGATTAAAAATTTGAATTAAATAATATTATTTATAATAAGAAACAAATAAAATTATTCAATATCTATATTTTTGTAATTTTTTATTATATTATTATTCTAATAATAAGTATTATTTTTATTATCTATTTTAAACTTTTTTTTAGGTTAGATATACATATTTTATTAAATATTTGTATGCTATATATTGTAAAATAATTTACTAAAACGAAATCTCTACTTAACTTACTTATTATTGTTTTATATTTTTTTAAAAATTTATATATAACTTTAAAAATAATTTGTTATTTTATTAATAATTTAACTAAAAACTCTTTTAACTATTAATATTATTGTTCACAAATTATTATTACAAATCACTACATGAGATTATGACAAGGTTTAAAATTTTAATTATTTTATTTTATATTTAACTCTTTTTATTAAAATCTTTTTTTGAACTTTTGACTTCTAAATTTCTTTTTCTAATAATAATATATTTCTTGTTAAAAATATAAATTTCTGATTTAAGATCTATAAGTCCATAATGCAGTAGTTAGTATTCCATATACTAGTCGAAAAATATTTATTCGGCATAATGCCACTCATATAATATTTATCAAAAAAATAAATAATTTGGTATATTAATGACATAAATAAATCGTCAATCAATTTTTATCATATAATTCGACATATTATTCAGCATAAATAAATTATCAATTAATTTTTACAATATAATTTGATATATAATTCGGTATATATAAATCATTAATCAATTTTTACTATATAATTCAATATTATTTATCATGTACCATTTTTACTATATATTTCATTAGAATTTTTCTCAAAAAATAATTAGACATTTATCAAAATTTCAATTTTATCAAAATTTTCATATTTACTGAATTTTAATTATATATTATATTTACAATTTAAAGAAATTACAGTTGAATATTCACGAAAGTCATTCATAAGAAGTTTTAATACTTCATACTAATAAAGTCTTACTACTTTCCTTAAACCATTTCAAAGAGTTTTCTCAGAACTCCCTCATCTCCCCTCCCTCTTGTCTACAATCTCCTTTGAACAAACTAAACTCTCATGGCTTGCAAAGTTCAGCTTTTACCTTTACTACCTATAGCAAAAAAGTTCCTAAAGGGAAAAGAACCAATAGTGAAGTATTTTTCTCCTCTTAGTTATGGTGGAGATAATAAAGGTTAAAAACTAATTAAAGAACTTATTTTCCTATCCTTTGAATGGTGTTGTGACCTCTCAGAGCTATCTTTTTCATGGCTTTCTAGAGAATTTTGCCTATCCCAGCTTGACTTTGAAATTTCGGATAGCACGGATCTCACCAACTCTGATTGGTCAACGTGAAACATGTTGGACAAAATTGATAAGCAAGCTCCTATTGGCTACCTTATTGTCTGAATACATTTCTTTGGCTCCATAAGAACCTGTGATCCATCATAAGTCATTTTGTCTGGCGCAGGTGGATACAGGACATGGTACCGACACATCATTGGATATAAAAAAAGAGTTCATCCAACCATGATAAAGGTCACAAGATGCTAGATCACTTCCTTTTAAAGATCAAAGCCGCCTATTCCTGATTGTATATCAGGTAGGTTCCAATCTCTACTACCCGGAAAGTCTAAATCAGAGAAAATAGAAAACCACTTAGGATACTCAGTGGTAAAGCTTATATGCAAAGTAATACAAGAAGTTTTTATCCTATCTTTAAAAAATTCTGAGCTGGAAAACTGGAAGATTAATATTGCTACACTAATCGAAACTCAAGTTCGAAAATGTCAGCAGTAATATGCAAGCCAGCCAGAATGTCTAAAAGATCCTCATTGATCGTTAGTACCAATGGCTACCAGCAGGATATGTCGATCGCAAGGCTAGGTGCTGTCCTTCATATAAGGAATTTAATCTGAAATAAGATGCACAGATGAATAAGTATATTCATATTTAGACATAGACCTTAAAACTATATAGTCTTCCCTTTGGTCTTCATTTTATCTCCGTAAAGACTCTGTAGAAGTTTTCCTCAGACCTTCTCATGAGAAATTAGAACAAAACAGATATGTGCCAAGAAACAGAACCATCACATTCCACATGATTGTCAATTTTTTCTTTTATTTTTTTTTTATTTTTCATTTATGACACTAGCACACTCTAGGGATATTGGTTTTTTTTGCAAAAAGAAAGAGCAATAAGCCTCGAAATAGTTTTAGAATAACTTTAGCTTATCATTATCTTTATCCTCCCCAAATATATATCTATGTATTCACACTTTGCACAATATAAACTTGTAATTTGGGATTCAATAAAGTTAGGTATGAGCCCATTTAAAAAAAAAAAATAATAATAATAATAAAAATAAATCAGTCAAAAATATTATGAATAGAAATTATGTATTCATATTTAACTTGGTAAAATTCAATATTTCACAATTCAATATTTGTATTATTTTTAGATTCAAAATAAAATTTATTTTCTACTGAATTAACCAGTTTGTATCATCAAATAAAGGCCAATCGATATTTAATAATATTATTCAAAAAGTTTACTGAATATATAAAGAAGAATTGAACTTATCCCAGATATAAATTAATATTTCTATCATGATTCACAAATCTAGCTAATATAAATGAACCCTTAATATTTCATGAGAACATAATGGAATCGAATATTTTACTTCCAATTCGATATCTATTATATTGATCTATTCTATTTTAAATAATTATTGAATTTTTATTATTTTTCGTAAATAACCTTTAAAAATCCATAGTTTCATAAAATGCCTCATAATATTTAACTAATAAATCTAATATTTTGGTAGATACTTCTAAATTTGGTTTTTTTGGATGCAAGAGTTCATCTGAAAAATGTTGAGATCTATTGATTATTGTTTTATAAATATTATATATGTTGTTTAAAAAATTGATATAACTTGTTAGCTGAAAATTGATTTAGTTCAGAAATTGAGCCAATATTTAATCAATTATTTAAAATTTCAAGCTCCTGGTTATTAGGATAAAACATAGTTAGATTAATAATTTGATGATTATTTATAAATCTTCATATTAATTGGGTTCAATATTTTGATAACTATTAAACAATGAATCTAAATTAAAATTTAATAGAATTCTACTTCTGAATATTAAATTTGTTTAAAAAACCGATCTAATATACCATTTATCCTCTCAAATAAAAAGTACCACAATGTATATAATAGTTAATAATCACACGCACATTCATATAATTATAATGAAAGATAAAGATTTGAAATAATATTTTCTTAAACAAGACAGCAAAACGAACCAAA